TTTTTCTTTGAATCTTTCCAACAGTCTAACAAAGTTGGCTTACTTATCCTCATTTTGCAGAAGAGACATTGGAGATTTGGAGAGGGTAAAGAGTATTAGTAAATAGTGGGGAAGAGAGTTGAACCCAGATCTCTTTGTCTCCAAATAGCATACTTTTCCCATGAGGCCATACACCCTGACCATTCTGCTGGGCATTTTTGATGCACCCAGAATTGGGCCAAGTGTTTTAGGGTTCATAATAGGTCACCATTTAAACTACTGAGAGGTATTATGAGAAATTTCTTAAGAAGATGATGGTAAATCTATTCATTCACATGGGGAACCTCTGCTTCCTTATACTGTAGACACCCAGTGCACCGACCAGAGATTCCACTTGACTGAGCAATCCTCTGTCAGCTCCCAAAGACCGGGTGATTGGCAACTCTCAACTGAGTCTGCCTGAGATTGTCCTCAGCTGAAGAGAGCCTGTTCATGAATATCATGCCTCTTTCCTGGGGGCAGCCTACACCCCATGACTAGTCCTTGCAGGAGTAAAATGGCCTAGTGCCCTTGCTTCAATTCCAAACAACTCTCCACGTGCCTGGAGAGTTCTGTGGTCATCCTGGGCCTTGACCATGACTTCACTGCAGTCCCCTTATGCCTAATTCTGCTGCCTTCATTGCTTGTAGGTTTTCCTGAGAGCATCTACCATAAACCCCTGCAGGCCAATCTCCATCTCTTCAGAGTCTGCTTCTCTTAGGAACATGACCTGTGATGTTGTTAGATCTAATTTTCCTTGTGGATAAATTATGGTTATGTTCAGGCAGTGTAATGGGCTTAATTGTGTCCCCCTCCAAATTTATACGTTCAAGTTCTAGCCCACAGTATCTCAGAATGTGACTATATTTGGTCTTTTAAGACGTGGTTTGGATATAGGGCCTTTAAAAGAGCATTTAAGGTAAAATGTGGGTGGGCCCCAATCCAATATGGCTGGTGTCCTTATAACAAGAAGAGATTAGGATGCAGACTCACATGGAGGGAAGACTGTGTGAGGACATAGGGAGAATTTGACCATCGACCATCTGTAAACCAAGAAGAGAAGCCTCAGGAAAACCAGACCTACTGACACCTTGATCTTGGATTTCCAGCCTCCAGAACCATGAGAAAATAAATTTCTGTTGTTTAAGCCATCAGTCTACAGTACTTGTTATGGCTAGCCGAGCAGACTAATAAAGGCAGACTTAGAGGTACTTCTTCATTTCAATCCCTATTCTTTCATCTTCACTCTCAAGGAACAACCTTGGAAATCTGAACAAGTTAAGCTGTCCTTTAAGTGTTGGGACATAAGGTATTCATTCTCAGTACATAAAGTTTTCATATTCCTTAAAATATGTTAGAATAATCAAAATACTATTTTTAAGGGCTGAAAAAAGAGTATGTGAATTACTCCACTTCATTGCATCTCCCTTTTTGGGACTTTACAAACCCAGGGCAGGTGTAAATGCAGTTTGATGACTATTTTAGACCTGGGGTGAACGTGTATTTAATCGGAAAAAAAGGACAACATTTTCAAGTCCTGTCAATCGATACATATTGACCATCCGTGAAGCAATAGTCCACCTGGATTTTTCTTCTTTAGATAAACCACGACAGACCATGTCCAACTGCCAACTTCCTGCCCTAGTATAACGGGGAAGACTGAGGAATGTCAAAAGAAGACGTTTGCAGTTTAAAAGGTTTTTATTGCCAGTGTTCTTGTTTTTCTGAGCCAGCTTCTTTATCATCCCCAGTGGTGCACTGGGAAATATTAACCTACCAGCTCTCTGACAGTGAAACAAAACAAAATACCCTGAGTTATAGTCTGCCAGTTTCTGTGGTGTAAATACCCCCACTATGGCAACTGTTGAGTTACCTACATGAACTCACTGGGATGCATGGACACAGTGGGCTCCAGGAAGCTGGAACCAGCTGCCTCCAGCACACCACTGATTCATGTAGAGACACAAAGGAAGACTGCCCACTGCCCAGCCTCTCTGCAGCTCTCAGATGGCCCCCCAGGTGTGAGCACGGGCTCTCCACCTTCCCTCCACATTGGTATTTGCAGTCAGCTCGGGGCTTGCTTTCACTTGCTGAGTTTTTTGGTAAAGGGCTTGCTTTTAAGAGTATTTATAAGGTTAGCACAGGTTTCCCCGAAGGATGTTTCTGGCCATGACCTCACAGTGTCCTCATTGTGGCTCCCCAAACCAGAAAATCACAGCAGAGGGGGTTCAAAAGAGCAACCAAATCTAGTCGGACCCAGATTCCTAGAGGCTCAATCTCTCAAGGCCTTTTTTACACTCTGCTTCCCCCATCTTCTGCCTTTAGTGATTTCTTTGAGCCGTGTAGACTTTACTTCCTATGTGCCGTAGAACTCTGAGTTTCACTGGAAGCCTCTATTGAGGGTTTAGTATGTGCCAAACATATTTGTAAACAATTTGCATGCTTACTCATCACAACAACCCCTCCCAAAAGGTGCTATTTTCACCCATTTTATAGATGAAGAAACTGACGCACAGAGAGGTTTAATACTTTGTTAATAGTTTGTCCTACTCCTTATTCGTGACAGGGCTGGGATTCAAATCAGGTGGTATTGCTTCAGATCTGGATCTGTCCCCCAAAGACCAGTAGGGATATATCTTTAGAAAGCATTGACGACAAGGAATCAATGCTCTTTTTTGCTATTAGGTGATACTAATAACTGCCAAATATTTCCATTCTACCTAGTCTAGTGTGAAGTTACATGTAAGTGTGTATGCGTGTGTGTGTACATGTGTGTAATATTGAAATACAGTTCAATCATTAAAAAAAAAAAAAAGACAACCCACCCAGAAGTGATGGAATTAAGGATCCAAAAGGACCTTGGACTTTGAACAGATAGTTCTAAAGCAAATTAAAGACTTCAGGTGGCCGAATTATCTGGTTTTCAGATCTAGAATACCAAAAGTTGAGAATCAACATGTATTTGAAATACCACAGTGCTAATGTTCATTGCAGGGACTCAAATGGAATGAAATACTGGCTTGCTTTAGAGAATTGCTAAGTTTTTTTTTTTTTTTCATCTCAATTGAGTGAAACTGAGTAGGTCTAAAAAAATGAGGAGAAACTGGTTTTATTTCACTCTTCATTAAGAAATTATTTTTTTTATTTAAAAAAATTTTTTTAAGTTTATTTATTTTGAGAGACAGAGAGACCAGACAAGGGGCAGAGAGAGAATCCCAGGCAGGCTCCATGCTGTCAGCACAGAGCCCGATACGGGGCTCAAACTCACGAACTGTGAAATCATGACCTGAGCTGAAACGAAGAGTTGGACACTTAACCAACTGAGCCACCCAGGCACCCCAAGAAATTAATATTCATGCCTGTGACTTGAGGAATCACAAGTGTAATTTGCTCCAGTTTGAATTCATACAGTAGTCTTCTCTTTATCCATAAAGAATACATGCCAAGACCCCCGGTGGATGCCAGAAAACACAGATAGCACTGAACCCAATATACACTATGCTTTTTCCCATACATACAGGCCTATGATAAAGTTTAATATCTAAATCATGTACAACGAGAGATTCACAGCAGCAGTAGTAACACAGAACAATTATATTGATATACTGTAATAAAAGTTATGTGAATGTGGTCCCTGTCTCTTACTGTCCCTTACTCACTCTTCTTGTGATGATGTGAGATGATCAAATGCCTAAGTGAGATGCGGCGAGGTGAATGACGTAGGCATTGTGACAGGGGTAACTACTGACTTTCTGATGACACTCAGAAGGAGGGTCATCTGCTTCCAGAATGCATCATCTGCACTTGACCGTGGGTAGCTGAAATTATGCAGAGCAAAACCCCGGGTAAGGGGGGGACTACTGTAATTCAGTTTGGTTGACACTTCTGAAATGTCCAATTCTGTGACAGAATTCTGTATCATAGGATCTTAGGACTAGAGGGACTTTTAAGAGATCGCTATTTTAAAAGCAATTACAGTGATATGGCCATTTGGTTTTTAAAGACTCCCCTGCAAATCCTTTTATTTCTCATCAAAATATTTTAAAGACACATTTGTCATTTTACTTGACTCCTAGCCTTTCTCCTGCAAACGAAATACGGCACTTTTTGGATTGACATGACTGCCCAGTTGCCTTCTATTTTGTCCTGATGGTCAGTTCTCCATGTGATACGGACAGCAGATTGTGGATCCCAGCACATCAGGGAATTAACCTTTCTTCCTCTGAGCACACATTGCTTCATGTGCGTTTTCTCATTTAATCCTCAGGACAACCTTCCTATGTCCATTTTATAAATTCAGAGACAAAGATTAAAAAGAGTCAGGCAACTTGCTCCCGGTCACTCTACTGCTCAGCATAAGAGTGACATAAGTCCAGCTCTGCCTGACCCCAGGGCCACTGCATCATGCCATGCTGCCTGCTTCCAAGTCAATGAACAGATGTGCATCACACATCACTTCTTCGACTTAATTTCCATAAAACTTTTAGGAAGCCTTGGTTAGATGGATGAATCAACTATTTTAACCCTAACCTCCACCCCAGGCCGAATTGACTTTCTTGTGGAATGACTGTATGGAAAGGGGATGGTTTAGCACTGATGGGCAGAGAGAGAATGGAGGCACCAGAGACCTGGCTAATCTAACCTAGGTGATCAACTTCTGAGTTGTCAGTGAGTATAACTTTCAGACTTGCTTGGGAACTGGTTATACTAAGGGGAATATTCTGCCTTTATTCCAGAAGACTGCCTCCCTCGAGATTTCTGAGTGGAAGAGGATTTCCTGTGGGCAAAAGATCCATCTCAAAAGATTCACCTAACAGAGCAAAATCCGGTGACCTGAAATTAGCCCTTTAATTCCAAACATAAATTACAATCCTGAGCGAGGATGGAACACCATTTGGATTATTGTTCCACAGGAATGAGTCTGAGTTGAACTGGACAAAAAGGAAGTGCATGAAATGTACGTTGTTTCCAACACTACTCACCCTTGCCCACATTTTCGCAGGTGCTTCTCTCCGTGAAGCCAAGGAATGTTGGAGTTCCGGCTCTTGAAAAGGACAATTCCTGTTTTAGTCTCCTGACCAGCTTCTTTCTTTTCATAACTCTGTTTAAAGAATACACGATATTCTCATGCCAGTGTGTGACATTACGGAATTCACAGCTTCTTGAATCTGAAAAGAAGTTAAAAATGCAAAAATGGGTAAACCTTGGCAGAGGCTGAGACACTTTTTATCACTTAAGGATTGCATCATAGCAGTTGGAAAAGCCAAATCCATACTCCCATGAATGAAATCCATCATTCGTTCGTTCATTCATTCATTCAATCACGCAACCAAGGAAAACATTTATGGGACCCTCACTACGTATTGGCTGGAACTGCAAAGAGGCATAAAATATGATCCTGTCCTCACTGACCCCACAGTCTAGTAGGACAAACCAAAAATATATAGTTCCATAAAATGCTACAGTTACTTTGAAAGAATATGAAGTGGGCCTGGTGAGGGCATAAAGGAGGGAGAAGGGAAACTTGGGGTGGAGTCTTGAGTGATGGGTAGATATTTGCCAGGTGTTTCATATTGGGACAGAATGGTAGAAGTGAGTGAGCCTTCATTGTCCGTTGTCTACAATTTTAGTCCTGCCATTGACTGATATTGACCTCACTTGTTCTTCCACCCCCCCCCC